TTGTTGCCTTTTGTTCTTCCTCTAAATTCATGCCAGGAAAGCAGATTTCAAAGTTGTTCCACAGTAAGTTGTAAAGTGAGTTGTGTGAATTTTACTTTCTGTATCTTTTAAGTGGAACCAGAAGAAAAGCTTAACTGACTTTGTGTTCTGTACATGCTTTCTGCATTCTGATTTCCTTTTGGCTGCTGCTTACCTCTTTTGAGCATCATGCTGACAGAGATCGGCCCAGCCAGCATATGACATTCCTACTTGGCTACTTAGTGGTTTTAGAAAATCCAAATCTTTCTTCACTTTGTAGAATTTACTGCCTTATCATTTTCTTGGGCAGGCTCTAAAGTCATCCTCGGTAAAAGTACACGATCTGTAATCAGTGGAGCAAAAGAGCTACGAGTTAATCTTTGTTTAGTGTAGCTAGAAAATCATGTGTTCAATTTTAATTTCAGAAAAACACTTAAAAGGGGGGATTGATTTTTTGTTTTACTAATTTACATACTAATCTTTAGGGGCAATTGGAATGATAATTTGTTATTTACTTTAAAAAAAAATTACAATGTCCCTTGCAAAGTAAATGAGAAGAAGAACCAGAAATTGGATTTTAATAAAACTGATCACAATTATAGTCGTAATTAGCTGATTTGCAATTAAGGGTCTGTCAATATTCTAGGATCTATAGGTTGGGATTGGCCCTTAAAACCATTTGAGATAAAAACTAAAGAAATAAGTTTTCAGGTTACGAGAGTTTGTGGAGAAAAGTCAGTTACTTTAACTGAGTATTTCGGTACAAATTTATAAAGAGGTGGTGTTAATAGGATTATTGAGAAGGAAATTGAGTGCTTTTTCATTTTCGAAGAAGTGCTCTTAAAAGTTGTGTTTTTTCAGGTGGCTTTTTATTTCCTTTGCATGTGAGTTGATGCCTTCTGTGAAAATGCTTTTTGGCTCAGCATTTACTCTGTAGATTATTAATAATCATTGAAAGTTTGTTGTAAAAATAAAACTGCCATTTCCTTGCAATGTGGAACGGCACTTCTATTTTCTTTTAAAAGTACTTTGAGGTAGGGAGAGAGTAAGATAAATTACAATGGTGTCATTGTGTTAATTAAATATCTCTTTCTCATAAAGACAAGAAGTTGTGTATGATAATTTAAAAAACATCTCTGTTACATGTTATCTTTGCTTCATGATTTAAAAATTGGTCTTAAAGTTTACTTGGGCATGTTAAATGTGCGATATGGAGATGTCATTATCCAATCAGACTTATTTATCTAATTTGATTTAACTAAATAATTGGAACAAATAATTGATGATAGCAAAATTTATAAAATAAAATCTTACATGTTTGTGTGACAGGGCATCTGCTACTTTGCCCTGTTATTGATTAATAAGTATATTTTGTCTACCGAATGTTATTCAGTAAAGTAAGTGTTATTTTTGACCTGTAAGAGGAGGAAACAAAGCAAAGGAAATTAAGTGACTGTGTCATTATTCCAAGGTTGATCTTATAAATCAGATCATTAAATTTTTGGTCATTATCTTTGTTATGAGAAATTCTGACACTACTAAGTCTAACATGTCATAATATTATAGACACTGTATTTGGAAAAAAAAAGAAGAGTAAATTAAGGTAGCAAGTTTTGAAATAAAGCATGTTTTAATGATGTAAACCTTGAGAATAATTATATAGTAATGCTTCATTTTTTATTTATGATAATAACAGCATTTTGGTAAATAAAACAGGCATAATTATTGGAGCTTTGAGATTTAATTGTAACCACATTTGTGGTTATATATATATATATATGGCATATAATAAATTTTACTATCATCAGTTTAAGCATTTATGTATTTAATACTTCACCTACATCCAGTTTTGATATGTCTTGCTTCAGGCAATTTGGTGGGGCAGGGAACATTGAATTTTCATGGTTTACTATTAGTGTCTCCTGCAAGTAGATATTTGTTGAATTATCAATAGATATCTGTTTAATTAACTGTGTAGTAAATCTTTAGTCAGAGTGGAGAGAGCCCCTTGATCTTCTTTTCTCCCTTAATATTATGATCATGTTCTGTTTTTCTGCATTTAATAATGTAGTTGTGAGGACACTTTAATAGGGTACGTCAGCCTACAAAGTGGCTTTGAAACTACATGCTTTAATATTTCCTATTAGGAAATTTAAAATTGGATAGAGAAACAGTTGCTTCCATACTCCCAGCCAGAGCTTCTCTGCCATTTTCCTCCACTGCCTGTTAAATAGTCCAGAGATACATTTTAAAAATGAGATTAATATTTGACATTCTTCACCAGTTCACATTCATATTCCGAAACAGTTCCAGTACCACCCAAACATGCATATAAAAGTGTTTCGGTCCATATGTTCATTCTTCTTGGGGTGTGTATTCCATTACTTACAATAGAAAAGTGGAAAATGTGTAAATCTCTTATATAAAGTCCTTAGCCAGAAACAATTCTTTCGCTGTGGAATTTCATAAATCTTTTCAATTTATAAGGAAGAACTATAGAACACTCTAGTGCCATTTTCAAAGAAATCCTTTTATCTCTTTCTGGAAATTTCTTCTCAGTTCTTTTAAACATTTCCTCCAGAAGGCACAATGTTCCCAACCACTAGGCTTTAGATATTATAATTGAATTTAAAAATGGAATATGTGCAATATTATATAACGTATGCAAAGGTACTATCATCAACAGAGAGAGAAAATAAAGACATGTGTAGCCTGATTTGTCCCTTCTGTCATGAATAAGTTTTAAGAAATTTCATGGTCAAGAGGAAATTGCTTAAATTCTGTGAAAGGGATATCTATACATATTTTAAAGGGGGTGATAAAGATTGACTTTCTACCTTGGCTAAGAGTTTATTGTGGCAAATATTCTTAGAATAAAGGATACAGTGGGAGCAGCTGAACTGGATGAGATACAGATTTGCAAGTGATCAAACATGCAATAAACAAATGAACGAAAGAGAAAGGACGTGAAAAGTACAAATGTGCCATCTCACTTTAACTTTCCTGTTTCTTTTCTGACACCTCTCCAACATTATCTTGATTCAATTGTAATTAAATTTTTGAAAACACTTTAAATACCTTTTTAGAAACCTGATTTCTCTTTAACATTATTTAAGTTTCAATCACACACGTCTTCGCCCTAAAGAAGTCTGTTTACTGTTAATATGCACATTAGCTTTTCAGAGAAGTCTGAGCATATTTCAAGCTGTGACTGAGTACAGTTAAACTCTAGAACTTTCATTTGTAAAGAAAAATCTGCTTTTAAGAAAAATAAATAATTTTATTTTTATAAAAAACAAATGGTATCTATGATCTTAATGTACATTAGGTGGACAAATGACATAATTCTTCCTTTCGGTTGGTGCAGTGGGGTAGAATAGAGTCAGGGTTCTAATAAAATGTAAAGTGAGTAAAAACATCCACCATAGCTAGGTGCCCATGGTTTGGATACTGAATGTCTTCCAAAGGCTCACCTGAGAGTTTTGTCTCTACAGTGGGTGATGCTATTGGGAGGTGACAGGAACTTTAAGAATTGGGTCCTTAGGTAACTAGGATCATGCCCTTGCAGGACTGTGGGACTCCAGACCTCTTCTCACTCACTTGTTTGCTTCCTGGCCATGATACGAGATGCTTTGCTCCACCATAATGTGCCATAGAGCACAGAACAGTGAGGCCCCCTGGTCATTGACTAGAATCATCAAAACTGTGAGCCAATAAACACTTTCTCTTTATAAATTCATCACTTCAGGTGTTTTGTCGTGGTGATGCAAAGCTCTCTAACACAATGAATGAGGAGTTAAACTCTATCCCTAAAGTGTTGTTATCACTAAACAACTTGAAAACTGAGGAAGACCATAACAAGAGACTTATTAACTTATATAAAACTCATATAAAGTCTTTGGATTTGATTAAGCTCCAGATGGAATACATTTATGAAAACAATTTCAACAAAAATGGCAAAAATATTAAATCTTGTTGGAAGTTAAAAAATCACTTCTTACATACTTTTTAATATTTAGAACAAAAACATACTAATATATATATTTATATGTTTATGTGTGTTAAGTTTAAAACATGTCTATCTCTCTCTCTATTTCTGTCTATTTCTCATTATTCATACTTGTGTTCTATAAGATCATTGTGAAGACTGAACTAGTAAACCTGGAACCATTTCTTTCAGGGAAAATCCTGAGTAATAACATTTTTTGCCCAATGATTAGAACATAACCTTGGTTTTAGTGATGTGTTTGAAGATACCTTGACATATAGTTAAATAACAAAGTATTCAAATATATGTACATATATATTCAAATGATATAGATACATATACCACTAAATTCATGGTACTTAAGCCTAAATGCAACTTACCTAGCACACATTTTCTCTGTACATCATTTCGCAATCTTCTTTTTTAAGGGCGCTATATAGCACTTTAGTACAAAAGAAATATCTAAAAAGATTAAATCACTAGTAAAAAGAACAAAAATGTGAAGAACATGTTGCTAAGTATACCATGGAGAGACATTTCTTTACAGTATTGGATCCAAAACTGAAAGGCAAAATGTTGCCTTATTCCAGTTTCACTGGGAGGATGAATGGTATGTGTGACCATTAATCATATGTCACCTTGATTGAGAAATGCCTAGCAAACTAGTAAAGCACATTTCTGAGTCTATGAGGTATTCCCAGAGACAACTGGCTTGTAGGCCAGCAGGCTGAGGGGAAAGACCTGCAGTGATTGTGGGTAGCACCAGTACACTTATAGCTTGAATGGAATAAGTAGAGAAAAAAGAGGAAGTGGGTACACATTTGAAAAGTACCATTCTGCTTGAGTGGGTGCATATTTTGATACTGTCATCCCTGTTAAATCAGACTCCAGTTTCTTCAGTTTTCAACAAGAATTCATACCAGTCACTCTCATAGAGCCTCCAGGCATTTGGTCTTGGCCTGGTGATTCTTATTTGACTTCTTTTGTTCTGCAGCTTCCAGATTCTTGGACTTAGCAGCTGGTGGATTCTCCATGGCCATTGTGCTCATGGCCATTATGGACTTTTCTGCCTCTGATCCTGTAAGTTACCTGATAAATCCCCTTGCTCCTCTCTCCCCACTCCCCCCTCTCTTCCTAATGATTCTGATTCTGTAGAGAACCCTCACCAATACACAGGTGATTTGACTGCAAAATACTAGATGTAGTGACTTAGAGTTGACAGATACACCTTAGCTCCTAAGTGAATTCATATGTATGGTATTTGACTCCTATCTGTTTCTGTGTATATATTTGTTTCTGAATTTGCTCCCTTTTTGATGGTAATTTTCAGTCAAAATTATTTTGTTACAATGAAATAAATAGCAAATTTCAGACATATTTTTATGAGTTTTGAAAAATTCATAGTGCCTGAATCGGTCATCTTTCCCATCCTTGGAAAGAACTACCTGACACCAACAATCTGAAGGAGGTGAGATTTGTTTCAGTCTTATAGTTTCATTCGGTGGTTTCAGTCCATGGTTACCTGATTTGACTGCTGTGAGTCTGAGGTAGGGCAACAAATGATGGCAAAAATGTGTAGGGAAGCATAGCTGCTCACTTTGTGGTGGCCAGGAAGCCGTGCACGGGGCAGAGCACCGGCAAGAGACTTGTTCTCCCAAGTCCCATCACCAGTGACCCCCGTGTCCCACCACGCCAACTAGGGCCACATTCAGCAAGTGTGATACCCCACGATCCTATCACTTTTCCAGGAGTATCTTCATCCACTAAAATAAGTGATGAGTTTAACCGGCACAGTGTCCTACATCCACTACCACAGTTCCACTCTGAATAATTTTATTTGCCCGAAAGTTTTATCATGGTATAATTCCTCTTCCTACGTCAGAGCCCCTAGAAACCAGTCATCTTTTTTTTTTTTTTTTTTTTTT